ACTATTTCTGAAAGAGATACCTCCTCTCATGCCCAACTAAGTCCTGTTGAGGAGGAGTCTTTGAACGGTTTTTAAGTAAGCAGAACTTTCTCTTTGGCTACAGCAAGAGCACATGATTAATAACGATACAAAACACTCCTCACTGCCAAGAATAACAACCCTGAATTTACAAGTTTGTCAGTTAGTATTTGACTTCTCTTTATTCTTAGGTTCTGGGCTTGTTACTAGAAATATCAGCCCAATACATCTCCTAACCTGTTGACCTCATTGTGTGAATAGCCTCTGACCTGTAAATACAGTTTTTTTTTTCAGGGTGGTGGTTAGGTTGTTGATTTCTGGTCCGACTGCTGTGCATTCATCCCGTAACCCATCTTCCTGGATAATTCCCGTTTCCACTCAGAGGAAAGTAAGAGAGGCAAAGACAAACAGCAGGTGCTAGCCCAAGCCCTTCATTAGAACAGTGGCTGAGGAGATCTGGGGAGTTAGGTGTCTTATAAATGAAAGTAGGTTTCTGGAGTGGACAGAGGAAAAGCACCTTCTGGTCTATCTGGATCTGGTTCTCAAAGGCTTTGAGGGTTATAATTAGTTGCTACTTAATCACACGGCTGTGGGGCTTCACAGCTTCTGTGCTTCAGTGCTGTGCTCAGAGAGGGTTAGACAGACAGGGCCTGGGTGTGTCCATTTGGTCACTTCCTGGAGACAGACGAACCTTGACTTGAGGACCACCTTATACTACTGGCCATCAAGCTAGAAGAGTGTGTTTGCCAAGCTGACCTGGACAGGGTTGAAAGCGTCAGGCTCTTGAGAAGGCTATGAAGTGGCAAGGACACCTCAGGTCTCCAGTGACACATGAGCTTTGAAGGATACAAAGTGACCCTGCTTTGACTGCTTTCTTTTCCCCAGAAGGAAACGGAAACGTGTGTGTGTGTGTGTGTGTCTGTCTGTCTGTCTGTCTGTCTGTCTGTCTGTCTGTGTCTGTGTGTCCACAATGGACCCTGGAGTTCTCAGCACCCGTAGGTGGGCAACGGGATCAATGCAGATTAGTGTTGAGATGCAGAAAGTGCAGGATGTGTCCACACCACTCCTTTCCTCGTTCCAGTGTGTGTTTTCCAGATCTCTAGCATGGACTATGGACACTCTCAAGGATGTCTTCAAGATATTGCTAAATATAGACAATGGACTTGGGAGTTTCTCATCCAAACTCTACACTTTGAGCTCATTAAGTATGAAGTGAAGGAGCCATTTGTTAAAACTAGTTTGAGGAAGAGGAAGGATGGTTTAAGGATTTCCTGTACAGAGAACTGGTCACCGAGGTGAAGGCTATTTAGAATGAAGTGTCCTCACATCACAGTCATTATCACCCATGGTATTAGAAGTGGAGCGTGTTTGGCCTCAAGGGACCTGGAGATATGGCCCTGGGAGGAACAGGTAGTGGGAAGTAGGGACGTCTTTTTGGTTTATATATTGATCTCCTGACCTTTGAAAAGTAACATTTCTTTTCAGTGAGTTCAGAAACTTGCACCTCTCGATTGTGCTGATTGGGAAAGTGAGAAAAAGATGGTTAATCTCGTAACTGTGGGTGTTATTAAATGAGGTAAATATGAGAGCAAGGCTTCTCACTTTAGATCATTGTCTTATAGCAGACGCTTTGACGCTTTCTAAGTTAGCCTCTTACAGCTGTTGCTCTTCTGAGTCAAGGAAGAGCTAAATACGCAGACTTTAACAATCATCTTTCTTTCCCATGTCGTTGGCTTCTTGGAGGATTATGCTCTGCTCCAGAAGCATCCTTCCTGATGGATGGATGGATGGATGGATGGATGGATGGATGGATGGGTGGGCGGATGGATGGATGGATGGATGGATGGGTGGGCGGGTCATCCCCAGGTCCAGTGGGCTTGGAGGCTATCCTTCCCTCCTTCTCCTGCTCTTGCTTCTTTGCCTGTGTGTACTTCTACAGTCTCATAAATATATCAAGTTACTTGGATTGTTTGAGCCACGCCAGCAATTTCTGTTTTCTTCTCCTGTCAGCAACTTCAGGAGAGCCGTGTACACAAAGACAAAATGGCTTTCAAAGTGGGCTACATTCTCATTTCAGTATTGATGCAGACATCAAATTGAAGGCCACTCAGCTCTACCTGCTGGTGGTTGTACGAGCTGCCTGGAGATTAACCTCTTCTAAGGCTCTGAGCTATTTTTGAGGTCAAGACTGCAACAACATTAAAGCTAGAACCCATTAGAAAATCACTTTCATCATCTCTTCTTTTTCCAAATCAGTGACTTTTTTTTCTTCTTCTTTCTGATCTCATAACCCTTTAATCTCCTTTGTAGCAGAACAAGGAGACGGTTAGTGTTTGCATCCAATGAGGTTAGCATCCTTGAGAGATAACAGCTTCAGAAGACACCAAGATTATTAGAGGAGTGTGTAGAGAGACGAACTTCATTTCCAGGTTGGACTGTCTCAATGCTGAAGGTGTTCTGCTTTCTTGGTGCAAGCATGGGCCATTTTCTTGTGGATGCTTTGCACAAAACAGGCTTGAAGTCTCCAAAAGAGACACAGCAGAAAGCCCTTTGTTGCATTATTTCTAAAGGCTTGAAGTTTGGAAGGGAAGGGATTTTGTTTTCCTCTGAGCTACACAATGGAGCTTTCACAGAACCTCTTTTAAAAGGAATAGCTCCAGCCTTTGTGTTGAAGGGTGTGTCTTTTGGCCGGGTCTGCTGCTGCAGACAGACTGGCTGGTGATTAACAAAGGACTTTGGAATCTGGCTAGCAGCCTCGGGTGGCATGTCTTCTGTGTGTGGAAGGAAGACTCTCAAGAAACCAAGGCATTCTGGAGGTCCCCTCTCCAGGACACCCCTAAATCTGGCCCAGGGACGTCCTGATCTAACTAGTATTCTGCTGGGACTGACGGACCAGCCTATCAATCATGGCATAAAAAGAACCTTTGGAGATCTTGGTGAATGCCATTGGAGGAGAAAGGTGCTGCTTTTCGGGGAGAAATGAAAACAGTTAATTCTTTGTGGGGAAGAGCAGACCTTAGGAGGAGCCCGGCCTGCCCTTGGGCGTCTCACTTGTGATTACCAGCCTAGCAGAATCCCAGAGAAGCCATGTTGTGCACGGAGGAGAGGCTCTGAGCTAAAATGGCTGCCCTCAGCTCAGTGGACTAGGGCAGCTTAGAGTCTTAGAGCTTCGGTGACGGGTGACGCAGGAGCTCCTATCTCCTGAAAGGGTGATAAACACATTCAGCAGAGCTGTGGCTTGCTTGGCTGAGATGAAAGGACTAAGCTTGGGGGGATGGGGAGTGCACATTGGATGATCTGCTTTTTTTTTTTGCTGTGAAGTGTTCTAAATGCAGGAGTCGTCGTCTGCACCATGGAAAAATTTGTTTTCAGGTCTAATGGACTGTGCGAAACGGAGAAGCGGGGTGGGGCCTCAGTGACTGCTGTAATTTGATCCAGAGCTGATAGCAACCTCTTCCACACAATTTAGGCTGGTGCTCAGACATGAAGGCTTGGGTATCTGGAATATTGAGACTTAAGTTGGCTGAAGGACTCTGGTGCCCAGTTAAATGTTTGTTGAAACAGGATAAGTTGCCGGGTACAAGAAGAGGAGGTTAAGCATCCCTGTCTCACTGTGCAGAGCTCTGTCCTGAGCTGGACTTCGCCAGGACTTAGTTTAGCAGGCTTCTGGCCGAAGCACGCTTCCCTACAAAATCCTCACCCCACGGCTCCTTGCCCTTAACTGACACACTATGACTAGACTTTGCTCCTCCAGCAGAAATCACGTGGCTTTTATACCAGGCATAGATGGTTGCATCATAAAAAGATTTGGCTGCAACTTGAATTCTTAAAGACACTTGGTTCTAGATTACGATGACCTAGTAGGGCTTCATGAAGTACTTACTCACTCAGATATTAACTGGGTATCTCCCCACAGGATAAATACTAACACTGGAAGAGCTACGCCTTCCCAATACACTTTTGACGGATGTCTTCCTGGAAGGATTCTCCATTGAGTTAGCATGAAGCTTTCCACGGGTCTCAGTTGCACAGTGAATTACAGAATAAGGCAAACGGACTGTGCTTGGCCATATCACACACCAGGCCCGCGGGGTTGATTTTGTTGTTGCTTTATATCCAACTATACACTTCATGTTAGGGAAAGGAAATCTCTGCCTTGGAAACCCCTCTTCACAACTACTGGTTTCTGTTGTCTTAATGCAAACCCAAGTGCCAAAGTACAATCTTAAGCCAGAAACGCTTGGGAATCTCATGAGAAATATTTTATGACCTAATTAGACTGGAGAAGCTGTTAGGTTTTAATTGGTAGGTAGTAAAAGAGCAAATAACCTCTTACCTCATGGTGTGTGTGTGTGTGTGTGTGTGTGTGTGTGTGTAGTGGGGAGAGCTTCACTATTTGGGGAAAGGCAGAAAGATGTGAACCCCAATATCAATAAAGCTATTAAAATGATAAAAGCGATACTAAAAGCCTACAGCCATTTCTAAGAATCAATCCTATTACCATTTGGTGTTAAAACACTAATGCAATACTACAGAAATGGGTAAAAGAAATGGAAATTCCCTTGCTGTTCCCTGAGTATGTCCTCTTTCCTTCTAAGAAGGCTATAGTCCAAAAAGAAAGAGTCCAAGGAGAAATCAGAATCCATATTAAGTTACCTAGACTTCTGAGCATGGTGGAGAAACTCAAAAAAACTGCACCAACTTCTGAAGTATTAATGTTTCCTTGACACGTGGCATCTGAAGATCTATCAAACCAGAAAACATTTATCTGGGTTTTCTTCCCTTTGAAGTTAGGAAGTCAAGGACTTTGTCTCTATTACATCTGATTGCCTTTCTTTGGCCAGTGGTGGAGCTGGCAGAGAGGAGCAGGGAGATGCCCTGAGGTTGGGGTTCATTCCATTAGCGGATCTGTGGCCACTCAGGGTTTGTGGTGAGCGCGGTGCTCGGTTCCTCATGATGCTCGGTTCTGACTTCTGCCTCAGGTTCCTGATGTGAGAGGGGAAGCCCCTGACCATGGAGGTGCTTCAGTGCGATGGCTGTGACTTCCGGGCCCCGTCTTATGAAGATCTCAAGGCGCACATCCAGGATGTCCATACGGCATTCTTGCAACCCACTGATGTTGCAGAGGACCAAGATGAGGAGCCGCCATCCGGGTCCATGAATGCTAGCAATCAGACAGAGGTGGAGTTTTCCTCTATAAAGGATGAGTTTGTGATCGCAGAAGATTTATCAGGTAATTCTACACTGAACTCACATGGCTGACAAAGCTTAATTGCTCTTTCATTATTATTTTTTTTAAACCAGAAACCATAGCTCTTTGTGTGTGGTTTCTGTACTTTCCAACTCCCTGCAAGCCGTTTTTACTATTTGGGTATCATTTTTCCTCTTAGTTATCTTAGGCAATGGTCCTTTTAGTGTCCCTGTGTGCCCTGCTTTTAATTTTGAAAACGAAGTGTCTTGAAATGTTCTAGACTAAATCTTCCAGGGATGAAGGTTGTCTTGGTTCTGTATCTAAGCTGTCTACGCCATCCTCACTGTCAGCGCTCTGTGATTCGTCTCCTGAGTCTCGCTTCGAGTCGCCATGCCTGTTGAACGTGGTGTTCACCACTGATGATAGGTGCTAGTTTGTGCGGATGAACTTTTTATCGTCTCTTGCTTTGCTTTTCTCATTTTATTCTTCTTGAATGTTCTCTTTAGGTCAGAGTGCAGCTGCATTGGGGAGTGGAAGTTACTATGGCCACAGTCCAGGATATTACGGTCAGCATATTGCCCCTAACCCCAAACCAACCAACAAATTTTTTCAGTGCAAGTTCTGCGTGCGCTACTTCAGGTCAAAAAATCTCCTCATAGAACACACTAGGAAGGTCCATGGAGCTCAAGCTGAAGGGAGTTCACCGGGACCTCCTGTCCCAGGGTCCTTAAATTATAATATCATGATGCACGAAGGATTTGGAAAGGTATTCTCTTGCCAGTTTTGCACATACAAATCACCTCGGAGGGCAAGGATAATTAAGCATCAGAAGATGTACCACAAGAACAGTCTGAAGGAGGCCACAGCGCCACCACCCGCTCCTGCTCCACTGTCAGACCCTGGGGTCCCGCCCGTGTCCTTGCAGGACCCCTGCAAGGAGCTACCAGCAGAGGTTGTGGAGCGCAGCATCTTAGAATCCATGGTCAAGCCTTTGACCAAGTCTCGAGGCAACTTCTGCTGTGAGTGGTGCAGCTACCAGACCCCCCGCCGAGAACGCTGGTGCGATCACATGATGAAGAAACACCGTAGCATGGTCAAGATCCTCTCCAGTATCAGGCAGCAGCAAGAAGGGACTAACGCACCAGAAGTGCAGAACAGTAATGAACCCAGCCCCACATCCAACTCCCCCTACCTGTCCATGAATGCTGCAAGCCGGGAGATGCCCAATACTAACGTCTCCAGTTTCAGGGGCTCCATGGGCAACTCCATCATGAGACCTAACTCTTCTTCAGCTTCCAAGTTTTCTCCTATGTCTTACCCTCAGATGAAGCCGAAGTCACCTCATAATTCTGGCCTTGTGAACTTGACAGATAGGTCCCGCTATGGCATGTCTGACATGACTAATTCGTCTGCTGACCTGGACACTAATAGCATGCTGAATGACTCTAGTTCTGATGAGGAGTTAAATGAGATAGACAGTGAGAATGGTTTGAGTGTCATAGATCACCAGGCATCGGGCCTGTCTGCGGAGCAGCTGATGGGCTCCGATGGCAACAAATTGCTAGAGACCAAGGGGATCCCATTTAGAAGGTTCATGAATAGGTTCCAGTGCCCCTTTTGCCCTTTCCTCACCATGCACCGGCGCAGCATTTCCCGCCACATAGAGAACATCCACTTATCGGGAAAGACGGCCGTCTACAAATGTGATGAGTGTCCATTTACTTGTAAGAGCTCGTTAAAACTTGGGGCTCATAAACAGTGTCACACGGGTTCGTCAGATTGGGATGCTGTGAATTCTCAAAGTGAAAGCCTCTCTTCCTCTTTGAATGAAGGTATGGTATCTTACGAGAGCTCCAGCATCAACGGAAGAAAGTCGGCAGTCATGCTGGATCCCCTGCAGCAGCAGCAGCAGCCGCCACAGCCACCTCCGCCTCCGCCACCGCCACCGCCACCCTCACAGCCACTGCAGCCGCCGCCCCCCACGCAGTTGCAGCCACCACACCAGGTGCCACCCCAGCCGCAGCCGCCGCCCACGCAGCCGCCGCCGCCCACGCAGGTCCCACCCTTGCATCCTTACAAGTGCACTATGTGTAGCTACTCCACCATGACTCTCAAAGGGCTAAGAGTCCATCAGCAGCACAAGCACTCATTCTGCGACAACTTGCCAAAATTCGAGGGGCAGCCCTCAAGCCTGCCCCTGGAGAACGAGACGGATAGCCACCCCTCTTCCAGCAACACTGTGAAGAAAAGCCAGACCTCAATTCTTGGGTTGTCCTCCAAGAATAACTTTGTAGCTAAGGCCTCCAGGAAGCTCGCTAATGACTTTCCCCTCGACTTATCGCCTGTGAAGAAGCGGACGAGGATCGACGAGATAGCGAGCAACTTGCAGAGCAAAATCAACCAAACCAAGCTGCAGGAAGATGCGGTCATCAGCGTTGAGGACGATGAGGAGGAAGACGATGACAACGAAGTAGAGATAGAGGTTGAGCTGGACAGAGAAGAAGAGGCGGCGGAAGCCATCATGGAGGTCCCCACTTCCTTTTCAGCCCAACAGATTTGGGCCAGAGACACCAGTGAGTCCCAGAAGGAGCCCAGCTACAGGAGTATCACCCATGACTACAATGCCACCAATGGGGCGGAGATTGAACTCACGCTTTCCGAAGATGAAGAGGATTATTACGGCCCTTCAGCAAGCATGAAAGATCACCAAGTGTCCAACGCGACCCTGCTGAACACCCAGGCCCCCATCTATGGGGCAGAGCACAGTAATGAAAACACAGATTTCGGTGACTCTGGAAGGCTTTACTACTGTAAACACTGTGACTTTAATAACAAATCCGCCCGGAGTGTTAGCACGCACTACCAGCGGATGCACCCATACATTAAGTTCAGCTTCAGGTATATCTTGGACCCCAATGACCACAGCGCAGTGTACAGGTGCCTGGAGTGCTACATCGACTACACCAACTTTGAAGACCTCCAACAGCATTATGGGGAACATCACCCAGAGGCCATGAATGTACTCAACTTTGACCACTCAGACCTGATCTACCGATGCCGCTTTTGTTCCTACACAAGCCCAAATGTCAGAAGCCTGATGCCGCATTACCAAAGAATGCATCCCACGGTGAAAATCAACAACGCCATGATATTCTCAAGCTATGTGGTGGATCCGCAGGAAGGGCTGAGTGCCGAGTCCCAGACCCTGCGGGAGATCCTGAACTCGGCTCCCAAGAGCATGGCGACATCCACACCCGTGGCTCGTGGCGGCGGCACGCCAGCTGCCTTCCACAAAAACACTCCTCCCAAGACCTTCACTCCGGAGTGTGAGAACCAGAAGGACCCCTCCGTCAACACCGTTGTTGTGTACGACTGTGATGTTTGCTCTTTTGCAAGCCCCAACATGCACTCTGTGCTGGTTCACTACCAGAAGAAGCACCCCGAAGAAAAGGCCTCGTACTTTAGGATCCAGAAAACCATGCGCATGGTGTCTGTGGACAGAGGCTCTGCCCTTTCCCAATTGTCATTTGAGGTGGGTGCTCCATTGTCTCCCAAAATGTCCACCATGGGTTCCCCGCCCCCCCCCCGCAGCCCCCCCCACCAGACCTCAGTGTAGAGCTTTACTACTGCAAACACTGCTCCTACAGCAATCGGTCGGTCGTGGGGGTGCTTGTTCACTACCAGAAAAGGCACCCAGAAATAAAGGTCACTGCCAAATACATCAGACAGGCCCCTCCCACAGCTGCCGTGATGACAGGGACGGAAGGGCTCCAAGACTCCCCCCCGGCCTGCCCCCATGCAGCTGAACCGGAGCAGTTCCGAGGGGGACTGCCCTCCCGTGGAGACCGAGATGTTCTTTTGCCAGCACTGTGATTACGGGAACCGGACGGTCAAAGGTGTCCTCATTCACTATCAGAAGAAGCACCGGGACTTCAAGGCCAATGCAGATGTCATCAGGCAGCACACAGCCACCATCAGGAGCCTCTGTGATCGAAACCAGAAGCCTGCCGGCTGTGTGCTTCTCCCTGCTTCTGGTATGGAGCGGGACAAAACGAAACTCCGAGCGCTTAAATGCAGGCAGTGCTCATATACCTCCCCCTATTTCTACGCGCTGCGGAAGCATATCAAGAAAGACCACCCCGCCCTGAAGGCCACAGTCACGTCCATCATGCGATGGGCGTTCCTGGATGGCTTGATAGAAGCCGGCTACCACTGTGAGTGGTGCATCTACTCCCACGCGGAGCCCAGCGGTTTGCTCCTGCACTACCAAAGGCGGCACCCCGAGCATTACGTGGATTACACCTACATGGCTACCAAACTCTGGGCTGGGCCAGACCCATGCTCTCCCACTCTGAGCATGCCAGCCGAAGCCAAAACCTACAGATGCAGGGACTGTGTTTTTGAAGCCGTCTCCATCTGGGACATCACCAACCACTACCAAGCCTTCCATCCCTGGGCCATGAATGGTGACGAGTCTGTGCTGCTGGATATCATCAAGGAGAAGGACGGCGTGGACAAGGCCCTCCTCGCACCTGAAGAGTTGATAGGCCCCGTGAATTGCGAAAACAGCCTGCCCACCCCCCTCCCCGAGCAGGAAGCCGAGTGCCCGGAGGACGCCAGACTTTCCCCAGAGAAGAGCATTCACCTGGCTTCGGCTAACCCTGCCATATCTTCCACCCCGTACCAGTGCACCGTGTGCCAGTCTGAGTACAACAACTTGCATGGCCTCCTCACCCACTACGGGAAGAAGCATCCGGGCATGAAAGTGAAGGCTGCCGATTTTGCGCAGGATATTGACATCAACCCGGGCGCCGTCTACAAGTGCAGGCATTGTCCGTACATCAACACACGCATCCACGGGGTCCTGACCCACTACCAGAAGCGACACCCGGCCATCAAGGTGACCGCCGAGGACTTTGTGCACGACGTCGAACAGTCTGCTGACATATCCCAGAACGACGTGGAAGAGACGAGCCGGATTTTCAAACAAGGGTATGGCGCCTACCGGTGTAAGCTGTGTCCGTACACGCATGGCACTCTGGAGAAACTCAAAATCCACTATGAGAAGTACCACAACCAGCCTGAGTTTGATGTCTTTTCCCCATCCCCCCCGAAGCTGCCAGTCACCCTGGAGCCTGAGATAACCACTGAAGTGAGTCCCTCCCAGATCTCAGTGACCGAGGACGAGGTGGGAGAGGACCACATGTCTACTTCTCATTTCTCTACCTCGCATCTGGTCTCCCACACTGTGTTCCGGTGCCAGCTCTGCAAGTACTTCTGCTCCACGAGGAAGGGCATTGCCAGGCACTACCGAATCAAGCACAACAACGTCCGCGCCCAGCCCGAGGGCAAGAACAATCTCTTCAAGTGCGCCCTGTGTGCCTACACCAACCCCATCCGCAAGGGACTGGCAGCCCACTACCAGAAGCGCCACGACATCGACGCGTATTACACCCACTGCCTTGCGGCCTCCAGGACCATCAGCGACAAGCCCAACAAGGTGATCATCCCTTCCCCACCCAAAGACGACTCCCCCCAGCTGAGCGAGGAACTGCGGCGGGCCGTGGAGAAGAAAAAGTGTTCCTTATGCTCCTTCCAGTCCTTCAGCAAGAAAGGCATCGTGTCCCATTACATGAAGCGCCACCCGGGGGTGTTCCCAAAGAAGCAGCACGCCAGCAAGCTGGGGGGCTACTTCACCGCCGTCTACGCAGACGAGCATGAGAAACCCCCGCTGACGGAAGAAGAGGAGAGGAGCAGCTTCGAGAGGGCCGAGGCCGAGGGCGAGGCTCAGGACGTGGAGTGGCTCCCGTTCCGCTGCATCAAATGCTTCAAGCTGTCCTTCAGCACGGCGGAGCTGCTGTGCATGCATTACACGGACCACCACAGCCGGGACCTGAAGAGGGACTTCGTCATCCTCGGCAGCGGCCCCCGCTTCCAGAGCTCCACCTTCCAGTGCAAGCACTGTGATAGCAAATTGCAAAGCACGGCCGAGCTGACCTCACACTTGAGCATTCACAATGAGGAATTCCAGAAGCGTGCCAAACGTCAGGAGAGGAGGAAACAGCTTTTGAGCAAGCAGAAATATGCAGATGGTGCTTTTGCAGATTTCAAACAAGAGAGGGTAAGGATATGTTTTGATTTCCCTTCCCCCAGGAGGCCTCTCATCACTGGTACCCACATGCGCGTCTTCGCTGCCAGCCAAACTGCTGCAGGCTTCCTGGTGACTTAGCTTGCCAGAGAGCTCAATAAGTCAATTAAACATTTCGGGCTTGATTATCTCCCATCCTGTGCTCACCCCACTCCTGCTGTCCCCCCCCTTCTCCCTCTGACTCCTCCCACGGTTCCCCAGGGGAGGCTTGGTGGTGGTTTCTGTGTACGTCTTACTGCCAAGTAGTGTATACTGAACCCTAGTTAGACGACAATGCTCGATTTTCCTAAGGCATTTGTGGGCTGTCTCTTGGCATCCTAAGCCCTTCTCAGCCGTGGCTTGGGCTCCAGTGTTTGCTTCAGGAACCTGACATCTCAAGAAATAGATTTTCTTTCTTTCTTTTTAAATCAAGAAGTTCGTTAAAGGAATAGCTGCGCAACATTTCACCTGCGTAGTCAAAACTGGTCTGAAAGCCAGATGACTTGGCAGCAGTGACTATGAGCTTCTACACAGAACTCTCTCCTCACCAGCTGGAACCTAACTGGGGTCCCAGAGACTGCGACTAGAAGGCAATGTGTCCTGCCTGATGACGCTGAGATGCTTGCCTCTTCTTTGGTTTTTTAATCTGGCTAATCCTCCTTAGAATGCACTGTCCCGTACACTGTAAGATGCTTGCCTTTGAGGGAGGGTGTGGTGTACTGATGGCTACCGCTGTGTTTTACCAGCCTTTTGGTCACTTAGAAGAGGTGCCAAAGATCAAGGAGAGGAAAGTGGTTGGCTATAAGTGTAAATTCTGCGTGGAAGTGCACCCAACGCTTCGGGCCATCTGCAACCACCTCCGGAAGCACGTCCAGTATGGCAACGTCCCGTCTGTGTCCGCTGCCGTGAAGGTGAGAAGGGGAAGATCCAGGTACCTGGTGCGTGCGTGCATGCATGCGTGCGTGGGTGCGTGCGTGAGTGCGTGAGTGTGTGTGTGTGTGTGTGTGTGTGTGTGTGTGTGTGTGGCTCGGGATGTGGGTGTTCCTGTGTTGTGCTTGGCTTGCTTTGGCTTGTTTCGATTTCTTCGCAGGTTGGACCCTTCTGCATCATTCTGTTCAGGGACAGGTTTGGTTTTGATCTGATTTCGGATTCTGGGGGACAGTTTGGTGGACAATGATGGTCCTGCATTCTCATGTCGGAGGCTTGGGGGGTCGTGCTATTTCGTGCTGATTGTCACTCAATCCTTACTCTGAATTGTCAGAGCTCATGGGAGGAGTTGAGTGGGCTTCCCGCTTCCTCACTCACACGTGAAGTCCAGGAGAATCGGCGTTTTTCTTCTTTTTAGGCTCCTTGAGGTGTACAGGGGGCATTGACCGAAGTCGACATAAAAGCCTTTAAGGCCTGCCTGGTTTGTCTGCGGCCCCCTCCTTTCCGTGAGAAGCAAGTCAGCGTCTCCCCTACCCCCACCTCACCTTCACCAGATCTGTTCTGAATATTATAATCCAAATAGCAGCTCCTGTTCCAATAGCTAATTCTCCACCCCACCTACCTTCTAGGATACAGTTAGGTACTTCTCACATCTGAACACAGAAATTAATTCAGATTTCTGCCCTTTCCGTCTGGATATTGGAATGTATTTTTATTATTTGCTCTTTCTTGACCTTTGTGTCCTGTTTACTCTGGAGGTAAAGCTCATCTTGTCTTGAACACTGAACCCGAGTCTCTGATGAGAACACTAGCAACTCAGGGACAAAGGGGACAGCTTGCACTCCACTGTAGTGTGTCCCAGGCTTGCTTCCTAGACTCCCACAAGGGAAGACTCAGCAACCCGAGGAGCTGCTTCAAAAGCTGATGCTCTAAGGATCAGACTGCTCCTTAACTTCTGGAATTAACCACGCGCATAGCCCTTAATTTGGAGGTGGCATTTTCAGCTGCAAGATAGAGAGGCAGGGAGCAAAGATCTCTGCCCAGATTCTTTTCCAAACGGCCGAGGATTCCCAGACGGTCAGTGTCAAGGTTACTGTTCTATTGCTGGGGAGAGATGCCACAATCGAGGCAACTCTTACGAAAGAAGACATTTAATTGGGGGGCTTTCTTACAGTTCCACAGCGTCGGTCCGTGACCATCGTGGCGGGCTTGGGGAGTGCAGCAGAGCACCTGCAGGTGTGGTGCTGGAGACGGAGCCGAGAGCTTTATATAACAGAGACAGACAGACAGACAGACAGACAGACAGACAGACAGACAGACTGAGCCTGAAGCCCATCCCCAGAGACATACCTCTTCTAACAAGGCCACACCTACAATAAGGACACACTTCCTGACCCTTCCTTCTCAAAACCGTCCACCAATTAGGACCAAGCATAGAAATCTGAACCTACAGGGGCACTTACCTTCAAACCACCACCACCAGACCATGCTTATCCCCTCCACTCTCCTCCCCTCCACTCCCCTCCCCTCCTCCTCTGGCCCTCCAGCTCCCCTCCTCTCTTCTCTCAGAGCTATAATCCTAATCCAACTTTATTTGGGGATAGATGAGATCACAATTTAAAAATTTTGTTTTTTCTAAGATTGGTAAAGAACCAACTACCCTCAGACTGGGAAAACCCCGTGCCACATGTCACAGGCTCTCTGTTTCCAACGTATGTGTCCCCCAAACCAGCACTGCTGGCTAAGAATTGCCACCCAAACTTGCCCTTCCTCTCTGGGAAGCCAGAGAGGCAGGGGAGAGAACACGGACGGGGAGTACTGGTGAGCTAGGGAGCGTGCTGAAAGGAAGAAAGCCAGGGTAATCATAATGAATATTTATTTTGTTGGTGGGGGCCTGTGTGTGTGTGTGGTTCTCTTAGCAGGAGGCTGAAGACCCTTCCCACTTGTTCCCGGACGGAGTGGAAGCAGCCGCCGGAGATGACAGTGGCACCCTGGTGGGCCGGGTGGATGGTGGACACTGCTTGCTTGATGGAATGTTGGAGGATGGAACCCGGCCGGGGGGATACCATTGCAGTCAATGTGACCGAGTCCTGATGTCCATGCAGGGGCTGCGTTCTCATGAGAGGAGCCACCTGGCCCTGGCCATGTTCAGCCGCGAGGACAAGTACAGCTGCCAGTACTGTTCCTTTGTTTCTGCGTTCAGGCACAAGTAAGTGACGCTGGGCAGCCTGCCATTCTTAGTGGGAGAAGACAGCTTAGGGAAGGCACTTAAGCTGCAGCGGGAGACAGACGACAGACAGACAGACAGACGACAGACAGACGACAGACAGACAGACAGACAGACAGACACACGACACTCGGATGAGTATGAGAACTCAGTGCCTGATTCCTGCCTGTGCTAAGGCATCCCCCAACATAGGGAGACTTTGACCTCCACTCTTACTTATATTTATAAAATGGGCCTAAGAGCAGTATTGACGAGATGCCATTAGATGTAGTCAATGTGGGCATTTACAAATTGAGAGACTGTGGATTTGTGATGGTTTACCCAAGGGAAGATGTTTCTGCGGCTAGAGCCACCAAATATTTAGCCAAAAGTTAAGTATCATTTAAAGAAACCAAGTTCCGCTTGAAAGCTGAGGCGTTAAGGTGTGCAAATGAGCCCCATAACCCTGTGTGACTCAAGAGTCATTGGAAGGTAACAGGTTTATGGATGCTAAGGAGTTGCCTGGGGGAAAGGCACCTCTTGCCAAGCCTGGCAACCAGAGTTCAGTTCCTGGGACTCCCCTGGGGAAGTCAGGAGAATGGACTTGTCCAAGTGGTGTCTGATTTCCTTATGCATGCTGGCAAGAACAGGGCAAAACACTCTGTCTCTGTCTGTCGTCTCTGTCTCTCTCTTGCAAATTGCTAAAAGTCTGGGAAGTCTAAGAAGCAGGAATGCCCCATGTCCCGTTGCTCACCACAGCTTTGAAAGTGGGAACCTGGGGTGGCGAGAATGGGGGCGTGGTTCTGAGATGAGGAAACTTTTGAGAAGAGTAAACTTTCTATCACATAAATATTCTTCCTCTTAGAGGGCTGGCGGAATACTGAAGGCAGCTAGCTTACTGTCTCTTTCTGCTGTAGTTGAAAATGAGTGAGATTTGTTTGTGTCACTAGGTAAAAGACTTGATGGAATTTCTGAAAGCAGGAGGAGGCCATGTCTCTCTGGAGAGTAGAATAGATGGCCTACCTTTTATCGTGATCCAGAGCCTAACGTCTAATCCGTACTGCTGCATTAAAACTGGTGTTCTCTTCAGTTCCTTAAATATTAAAGCAACTGCGTAAATACACATAGGCCCTCAGTAAGTTATTTTGAATAAAAGAATAATTTATGCCTGGTACTACGTCTTGGGAAAATATGGAAATGAACAGAAAAAGAAAACAACAACAAAATATGACTGGGTACACTTTTTAAAAAGATTTCAGCAAAGTGCTGTGAAATTTATTTCGGTATTTTTTAAATTTTATTTTATTTCATGTGCATTGGTGTTTTTGCCTGCACGTATGTCCGTGTGAGGGTGTCGGATTCCCTGGAGCTGGAGTTACAGACAGTTGTGAGCTGTCTTGTGGGTACTGGGAATTGAACCTGGGTTCTCTGGAAGAGTAGCCAGTGCTCTTAATCACTGAGCCATCTTCCCAGCCCCAAGTGCTGTGAAATTTAACAAAGGACAATGCACTCTCTGCTTGGGGAGAGTTAGGAGGGTTTTACAGGTTATGGATATTGAGTCAAGTCTTACCACGGGAAGGTGGAGCCTGCATAGTTTGAGAAGTCAGAGTAAGAAGAATGGAAGACCCAAGGTGTAGAGGATGTCATTCTCACTGAGGCCTAGCTTGGTGGTTTAGTTTAAACATGCCTTAACTTACGTGAAAACATATAGTGGAAGTTACCTCCTGGCTACCTAAATAGACATCCTATTAGGATGTCTTTAAATGCCAGGAATTAGTGCATTATAATTGCAGTACTGGCAAAAGGAAGAATCTGGAATGAGTAACATATTCATAATTACTAACAATAATTGCACCTGCTGATATACCGGGCACTGTCTTAAGTATCTTCAATTATTACCTCTTTATATTTACAAAACAGGCCTATGAGCTCTGGCCCCGCTATTATCTCCATATTATAGATGGGAAGAGTAAGGCCTAAAGAGATGAAATAGTTTTCCTGAGGCCACATCGCTCATAGGTAAATAGCAGGGATTCTCTCTCAGGCGGCCTGACTGTAGCTCAGCCAGCCTCGAGTCTGGTTGGCTGAGAGAATGAATGGCAGGGTGACATACAGAAATGAGGAGAATGGGTTCTGTAGGAAAGTGTGCTGGGTTTGAGCAGCACGTGTTGAGTGTAAGCTAGCCGACGGGCATCCAGAGGGAGCTGCCAGAGGCAGTTGGTAGCGCAGCGGTGGAGCTCAGAGAGCATCACACGTTTCAGTGGTGAGCGGCAACACTGCCACATGAGTCGTTGGGAATGGAATGTAGATCTCTGGGGTACTGTGCAAATGAGAGCATCCCACACCTTGTTGGTTAGCTGTGTTAATTTTTCAGACTAATAATTATTAAGACGTGCTAGGGGTTAATCCTAATTAAAGTCATTTCCTCGTAAACTGCTTCTGGAAGACTGATGTGCAGCAACTGTGGTTGTATGTATGGTGGGGCCGGGGATGGGTGCCAGCCTATGCCTTCCTTGCACATGTGACTCTGTGTTGGTCTGTTTCTGGGAACAAGGCAGCTTGTGTGAGCAGGTCATGCACTGCTCCTGACGAAAGAAGAGAGGAAAAACCCTCTCTAGATTTCTCTAACCTATAACCTCCCTCTACCCCCCCCACCCCCACCCCGTCTCTTTCTGTGACTTAGACAGGCACTCTCACTAACCGGGCAGATACACTTTCTGTGTTTGGAGCTGTGCTCTGAGAAGAGAAGACTCACCACCTGCTACGGTTTATTGTGAATACAATCGCTCAATCCCAACCCCCCCCTCTCTCTCTCTTCTTTCGCGCTGTCTCTCTTTCGCTCTCTCTCTCTCTCTCTCTTGCTCTCTCATTCGCTCTCTCTCTCTCTCTTTCGCTCTCTCTCTCTCTCTCTCTCTCTCTCTTCCTCCCTCTCTTTCCCTCCCTTTCTCTCTCCTTTCATGCAGCTATCCTAGAACTTACCATGTAGCCAAGGCTGATCTTGAACTCCTGATGTTTCCGCCTCTACCTTCCAAGAACTAGGGTCACTGTTATGTGCTAGCACACTGGACTTCTAGAAAGATCCTTTAATCGCTTCCTCCAGATTCTCCTCCTCTTAAGGTTCCTCTCATAACTTGGCCTCGTTATTTATTTATTGGTTATGGTGCACATTGTCACTAGAAAGCAACAGGGAAGACTTGGAACAGTTTAGAAGTCTGGCGTTTAGATGGACAATGGGAAAATATTTCTGGTTTTTAATTCCGGTTTCCTTTTCTTCCATCTCAAGCTTGGACCGTCACATGCAGACCCATCACGGACACCACAAACCATTCCGCTGCAAACTCTGCTCTTTCAAGTCCTCCTACAACAGCCGGCTGAAGACACATATCCTCAAAGCCCACGCTGGTGAGTTGGTATTGGTATATATCTTTAACACTCTCTTGAGTCGGCTATCCCCATGGCCTTGAGTGAAATGTAAAGGCTCCTCCAATGAGCATAATTTATTCTTGGGATGGTTGCATGTTCAGTTTTTAAAGAAATGCTAAACTAAATTTCATTCGTAAAACCAAAGTAATCACCAATGCTTGTTTGGTGGACGCTGCCAATAGCTGAGAATATGTGGTCAAAAGAAATGTCCGAATTGCCTTGGCTTAGCTCCTGGAATTATTAAAAAAAAATGACACCCACTAAAGCTAACTAACAGCGGAGACAGAGCATAGGTAACGGAAAACTCAGGAAGCGTGAGGAGTCTCAGGAGATGCCCTTTGCTCTTCCACTGGAGTCACGAGTGTCCAAGGAGCTGTGCTGTCTCGGCCACTGCATGGTGGTCGTCCCGGGCTGTGCTCTGAGCTGTGACAGCCGTCATGGTTTTCATTCCCACAGCATTTCAAAAGGGCGGGCGTTCTGTGATGCTCTCTGTGCCTTTCGGGCCCTTTACTCTGGACCGTTGTACGGAAGCTGCCCAGAGCCTGGTACTTCCCATGTGTCACCCACCCACCCACAACCCGTGTCTTTTCATCTGCTCCACGGCTGCTGAGCTGTTTTAGGGCCATGAAACTGCTTAAGCCCCACAGCTGCCCTTGGCTCCACCAGGGATCGGAGTTGGAAGCAGGGAGGTTAACCATGAGGGCTCGATTCTGATGGTTTTTAGGTCTCCGGGAAACCTCTAAAGTCCGAGGAATAAGTAACTTTCTGAAAACTCTGTTATTTTGTAAATTATCCAGCAGGGACAGCATCTTGGTGAGGTTTTCTCATTGACTTCTGCCTTGTCAAAAACGCATTTTTGATTGGGTGAAGGCTTTGGCCCAGGTGAAGGTCTCTGAGCAGTCCAGATGCGGCAGCCTCAAAGCAGAAAGCCGGAGTGTGTGTTCCCAGAGCCGATTAAGCTGGCTAGCCTCTTCAGCTGGCCTGAAGAAGCATCCAGAAAGAAAGTAAAAGCAGTATAATTCTGCTCTCAGTACACCATGGGAGCTTAGTCACTGACAAGACTCTCAAGCCACCGAGAGTTCCTTGGCTTGGAGAGAGCTACATGTTTGCTATAAGTCTCTTGATTTGTCTATTCTCAGTTGATGCTTTTATTTATTTTCATTGGTGTCTATAGGTAGGATCTTGCTATACAGCTTAGGCTAACTTAACTCCTGTCTGTTCAGGCTAGTCTCACACTTGCAGTAGCCCTCCTGTCTCAGCCACCAGAGTCCTGGGACTCCAGGTGTGTGATTTCCTAAGTCTGTTGTGATGCTCTGGATTTGATGCGTAGGTTGTGAGACAGACTCGTAGCTACCTAGTAAGACTCATGTAACCAAATTCACGCTACCACGAGGGGCTGGAGAGATGGCTTCGTGGTTAAGGACACTTAATAGCATGCTCTTCAAGAGGGCCTGAGCTGGCTTCTCAGTTACCATAGTGCGAGGCTCGCAATCGCTTGTAATTCCGGTTCTTGGATTTCCAACACTCTCTGGCCTCGGTGGGCACTCAGATGCATGTTGTGCGCATAAATTAAGGCACACACATACATACATAAATAGGAATAAATAAATAAATGAGCCTTTAAAAAAATGAATGAGGAGCCAGGTGGTGGTGGCACACGCCTTTAATCCCAGCACTCAGGAGGCAGAAGCAGGTGGATCTCTGTGAGTTTGAGTCCAGCCTGGTCTATAAAGCTACCCATAGATACCCTGTCTCGAAAAACAAACAAAACAAAACAAAACAAAAAACCCCACAAACAAACAAAAAAGAATGAGGACAGCAATGTCTCTGGATTTTAAATTTAATCTTAAAAATAAACCTTTTAAGTAGCCAGCAGGGGACACATCTGTAGTTCTTGGATTTGGGCAACTGAGGCAGGGGATTCCCTGAGTCCAGGAGTTTGAGCCAAGCTTGGCAAAGTAGCAACATACCACTTTTAAGAAGATACATTCAAAAAGTGCATATTTATTGAAGCAAATTTTAAAACAAAAGGAATATATTTAGTCATCCATAATGTTATCATATAAGGAGTACTGTTAATTTTTGATACTTCCTGTCAGCTGTTTTCTCTATATTTATTTTCCACGATTGTGATTTTAATGTCTGTAAAGTATGCTTTATGTTTCAATTCATTCTTAATTTTCTGTTTTATTACAAGTTCTCAAGAATTTATTTTAATGGTGGTTATTCAAAAGGATATGCCTGCATTTGTCTAATTATTTTCTTTTGTTTCAAAATCTAGGTTGTTTCATATCTTTCCCGCATGTATAATTTTTTTATCAGTTTATTTACATTCTCATCGTGTGTGTGTGTGTGTGTGTGTCAGGATATCAGTTCTTTCTACCGTGTGCGGTCCAGGATTGTAACTTGGGTTACGAGCCTTGACCTCACATGCCTTTACCCACTGAGCCCCCTTGCCAGTACAAACAATACTAATCTCCAAATAAAGTTTTCTCTGTATTAAGGGTGTATCCCTCCTTCCCTCCCTCCCTCCTTCCTCCTTTCTACCCTCCCTTTCTCCTGATCCCCCTTCCTTGCTCATCGGGATTTTTTTGTGACAGTATCTTGCTATTGCAGCCAGGCTGTACTCAAACTCAATCTTCTTACTTTAGCTCAAATGCTTGGGTTGTGGGTGTGAACCCCTATGCCAGGCTTGTAAGCTATTTTCTTAATAGAGACTCTCAGGGGTAGGATTATTAGATTGGGGGCCAAATTACTTTGTAGTTACTCTAAATGAGATTGATTACTGGTTTGATTAGACTAGTGTATATCAGTCCAATATCAGGCAAACTCACTGGCAACCCTGATTCTTAAAATGCGATGAACTTGGAAGTTTGTTTACAGCAAAAGCAAGCCACTCTCTTGTTTAATTTGATCATCATGGCTTTTTGTGCTGTATTTCAGCTCCAATGTATTGCTTGTTGAATGCTGAACACAATATCCATGTTCCCCTTCTCACTTAGTTTTAGCACATATAATTCTCCCTCCCAAAGAAATGCTCCGTTTCTATACTATTGATTACATGGGGTTTCATGATGAGCTCGCCCTCAGCCCCGGATGCATGTGGTGAAAAAATGCGTAAGAATGTGCCAGATGAGGAGGTACTGTGTAGTTCAGCAGAATTAAACACTGGGAATTGACACAATCGCGCTCCCAGGGAGGGACAGAACGCTTGGGAAAACCACTGAGATAAAGAATTAAATGTATTATTTTCTGTGGTTGACTGGGACCTGCCGTTGATCACTCTTTAGTGTGGAGACGGAAGAAGAGATTTGACCTTTTCTAAATCAGGTGTCACAATGAAGGAGAACCATCCCAACGCTGCACTACTGTAGGTAGAACAGGACCTACATGGGGTCAGGTGACTTCACCACGGAGCTTGCCAGGGCTTCTTTTGTAGGGCCTCGGAGGGTGTCTAGGCCCAGCAGCAAACCTTAGGACAGGTCTCCAGCGGGAGCCCATTAACCGTGTGGATTTGCTTTCAAGCCCTCTTTCTCCTGACTCCCGCCCTTCCTCCACCTCACCACCGTCTCCCTCTAGGTGAACATGCCTACAAGTGTTCTTGGTGCTCATTTTCCACCATGACAATCAGCCAGTTGAAGGAACACTCCCTCAAGGTCCACGGAAAAGCCCTGACCCTTCCCCGGCCTCGGATTGTCAGCCTCCTCTCCTCACACGCCCACCACCCTCAAAAGGCTACCTCAGCCGAAGAGGTGGAAGACTCCAACGGTAAGGACGGGCTCTCGAGATGGAGCCAAGCACGTAGTGTGGGGGTGAGGACGGGTTCTCAAGATGGAGCCAAGCGTGTAGGGTGGGGGTGAGGACGGGTTCTTAAGATGGAGCCAAGCGTGTAGGGTGGGGTGAGCTGGGGTTAACTTTTTTTCCTAGGGGAAATTCTTACATGAAAATGTGGGAAAGGTATGAAAACTGTAGATGCCGGGAGTAGGAGGAGGCGCAGACTCTGTGTCTTCATGGTAACAGTGTCCATGGATAACCAATGAAGCGTCCTGCTGGGTAGGATGCGCCCGTGTTGGGTTCTTCCATGGCAGACTCTAGTGAGATGGGAACACAGGACAGGTTGTTTCTACGGCTATCTTGTCTTGTAGGGAAAACGTTCCGTGAGGTGTGTGGGGTGTCCGTTGTGTAAGTTAGCCAAAGCTCAGAGTAGAAGGGGAGGGTGAATAAATGGGCACTCATATCAGAGTGGATGGCGTGATGTATTAGGGGTGACAGTGTTTTCTTATAGCTGAAGTATGCCACGGGTATTGGTTGCGGAGTGGGTTTAGAACCGCCTCGCATTGTTTCAAAGCTTCGAAAGTCGGGCAGGAAGACGTGGAGAGATTGTGGTGGCTGGCACTGTCACCAAAGCACGTCGAGGAAGACAGTCTTGGCTTGGAGCCGTTCAGTCAGTGTGGCATCAGGAGCGAAGGGACAGCTTCCTGTTTTGGTCAGGCCTGGAAACAGACCTGGGCTGGCTGACCGATCAGCTTGCCCGCAATGTCTGCAGGCGGGGGGCGCCTCAGTGGAGAAGTGGAGACTGGAGGAGACCCCGAGGCTTCTCCCTTCTCCTCTGAGACATGGTAACTGTCTGCAGCATGGATGAGCCAGGAACGGGTGTGATCTACCGTTCTCCCCGCGTCCACCATCCCATCCTCGGGAGGAGCTCGGTAGATGGAAAGTGGAGCAGAGACCTGGATTCCAACCATCTCCCTCTGGCAGTCCTGTCTCCCTAGGCAGTCTTAGCTTCTATTCCTGTATATGAGATTGAATAATGACACACGCGCGCCTCAGCCACTTGTCCTGGGAGTTGAATGAGGCAAGGCGCACAGGAAAAATGCTTGCTGTAATGTCTCATACACTGGAAGTATCGGTGACTACTTTCTGTGATCTTCATCTTTTGGTCACTGTTGTGTTCTTTGGGACCATTTATGGCAAGTGGGGATTTGGGCTTCTTCACGTGTGGGATGCTTAAATCTAGAGGTTTCTCAAGATGACCCCGAGATTCTGATAGCCCAACTTTGCCAACAGAGACTGATTCTCAGGTCGTCGAGACAGTCCTTAACGGTCTTTACTCATGAAGTCTGTGAAGAGGAGGGAACGGAGAGGCGAGCCCTGAGTCCAAAATTAAAATAAAATTAGAAGCCCGAGTGTCAGATAGCACTGAGAGCCTAAGAACTTCTGGCGGGAGATTTCTAGTGTGCTTATGAGGGACTGAGCACCCCTCACAACTGTGGTTGAAGCTGCAGAAGGAAACCAGCGCTACCGAGTCTCCCACCAGAGCGGTGTGAGAGTGCTTGTGAATGAGTCTGTTCCCTGGGTGTGTGGGTGTTGTGGCATATCATGGCCAGGGTGCAAGATCAAATTTGACCTAAATTACAAGGTTCTTTATTCATGTGAATTTTAATTAATTGTAAATATATATATAATTGTATAATATATATAATCTGGAATGGAAGCTATACTCCCGTAGCCATTTGGGTGAAATGGATCCGCCTAAATACTATCCCCAGTGAAGCCTTTTCCTGGGGCCGTTTGCTCAATGTCAACCCCTCCTTTGTCTCCCTTGCAAGTCGGGTCTCAGTCCCAGGATAAGGGGGTCCCATAGTCTACTCACTCATCCTTGTTCACCTCGGCTAGGAAGAGCTGGCCTCTGCCAACTCTCTGAACCTGTACTGGCTGCATGCCTGTCTAGGCACAGACAAACCCTAAACAAACACGGGGCTGTTCTGGCCCTCCGGCACCAGAAAACGGAATGCTTAGGCGACGCCAGCACACACATCTGAGCTTACTACAGCCCCGAGCCTGAAGCCTAACTTTTTATTTTGGGGGTGGGCATGTCAGAGTCTTGGATTGTGGACAGGGGTGGCTGTCTCAACGACATGGCCACCTGACATGAGTGACTGCAGCACATAGCCGCAGGAAGATAATTTCCTATACGCAGTGTTGCTTTTTGTTTTCTGCCTGGAGAAAGGGTACACTTGCCATGAAAGCTCTAGGTGGTGACCGTCTGCTGAGACCCACACAAACTCCTTGGTCCTGGCCCTGCAAGATATTTAGCATGTGTAAATAATGCATATCCAAGGACCCGCCACGATTAGTTTAATTTGATGACAAAAAAACTTGATTAGGAGGGGGGGACTGGGGGGGGACAGAAAGGAGTCACCAAATAGGCTGTTCTCATGAACAGGAACAATTACGCAGAAAGAGTGATTAATAGTTCATGCATTCGATAAGTGTGTTCTTAAAGCCCTGCTTTAGATCCCGACTTGTTTAGCACGGCCAGGAATGACTTAGGAGGCCCACGCTGGGAGGACTGTTTGCCAGGGAGCTCATGGTGGATTCCTAGAAACAGCTCAGTCTGGAGGACGGAAAAACAGCTGTGGGGCTAGACAGTACCCTGTAAATCATGCTCCGAATGGTGTTTGAAACACACATGTGCAATCCAGTTGCACATTTTAATAGGGAGAAGCTGTGGTCTATTGGCTCTCATTTCGGGTTTCCCACACTGCAGATGCCAGGACACTGTGAACACACGAACCAAAAATGTGTTGCAGGCCTAGGGGAGTGGAGATCCATAAACCCAGGGAAATGGCCAGTGTGTCCTTGGCTATCTAAATCCCTGGTGAGCGATGGGAGTAAAACGAGTTGACATGCTCGCTGCTGTTTTGCAGTGGGCAAACGCTCGCTATCCAGAGAACCAGCCAGTTCTTTCTGGCAGAGGGAAGCAGTCCAGAGGGGAGGTTCTGTCTAGGCTCTTCTCAGTCCTAACCCAGGGTGGGGATGCCTTGAGGGAGTGGGGAGGGGCGCTGATAGAGGGAAAGTGGGAGGGGCAGGGCAGCCGCTCTCAACCCCAGCTGCCTGGCCACACACCTGTTCTGAGCTTCAAGGGGGCTCTTGGGCTCGGAGCTGTCAGTCTCGGCACGTTTCATGAATCCTCTAGATACGTTGTATGATCAGTTATCAGGAAGAAAAGTGCCACGGCCGCGTGGTACCGGTTTTGTGTATCGGGAACGGCAAACGGCGCTCACTCGCTGTTCAAAACAATGCATTAAGGGGAGACAGTAAGGTTGTCAACAAAGGGAAGTGTTTCCACGGGGATGTGTTCCTTCCCTGCCATATAAAACACAGGGCTGGCTTTTCATCAGGCTGTTTCCAAGTCTCTGCGTCCAGCCCAGAGAAGTCCATACAGGCTATAAAATAACAAAGAAGGTAGGCCAATGGAGTTTAGCCATGAGGTTTGTTTAGGCCCGAGAAGCTGCGCAAGACATGAGCAACGGACGTGTAATTGGACATTCAGCCGTGCCCTGCCTTTTTCCTCCTTGAATTCCCCCCTGGCCAAAACCAACCAAGCAAGCAAACAAGTGATCCCTCTGTCCATCCAGTGATCCCTCTGTCCATCCAGTGATCCCTCTGTCCATCCAGTGATCCCTCTGTCCATCCAGTGATCCCTCTGTCCATCCAGTGATCCCTCTGTCCATCCAGTGATCCCTCTGTCCATCCAATGATCCCTCTGTCCATCCAATGATCCCTCTGTCCATCCAGTGATCCCTCTGTCCATCCAGTGATCCCTCTGTCCATCCAGTGATCCCTCTGTCCATCCAGTGATCCCTCTGTCCATCCAGTGATCCCTCTGTCCATCCAGTGATCCCTCTGTCCATCCAGTGATCCCTCTGTCCATCCAGTGATCCCTCTGTCCGTCTATCCAGTTCTGCCGTGTGATGTTGCTTGCTTTAGGAATTAGATGCCATGAGACTATTTAAACAAATGACTAAGTGTAGGAAGGCAGACATAGATAGATAGATGGATAATAGATAGATGAGAGAGAGAGAGAGAGAGAGAGAGAGAGAGAGAGAGAGAGAGAGAGAGAGAGAGAGCTTTCCACCCTGACGCCTAGTTAGCAGCCCCCAAGGAAAACCCAAAAGAACTCTTAGTCATAACACCCTTCCAACAGAGAAGTCTTTGATTCTGTGAATTATTAGTAAAAACCTCATAAAAATGAGCTATGGGAATTCTTCTAGGTTCTGGTAATTCTGAGGTAACAGGAAGATGTAAGGAGCAGTGTGATTTGTTTGTCTTGTCTTTCTTTGTTTTCTAAGACAGGCTGGTCTTGAACCCACTACGTAGCACAGGCTGTCCCCAAACTTAGAGATATTCTAACACCTCAACCTCCAGGGTGTTAGAATCATGGGCATCTGCTGCTGTTCCTGGTTGCTCTGTGACTTTCTCCTTGTTGTTATAACCTTTTTTAGTTGCCTTTTTAAAACTCTGGATTATAGAGTAGTTGACAAACACTTTTCTTTAAACAAACAAACAAACAAACAAACAAACCAGGGGTCTCTTCCTCACCCCTGAAAATCCCAGTGCCTCTACCTCCACTCACAGTTGGCTTCAGTCATTCTTTCCCCATTGCGGAATGCCTTCACTGACCAGCCCAGATGTGGCCTCCCGTCTCTGCAGCTGTTGAATAAGCTTTGCAGAGCATGCGGAAGGATTTTCTCCTTGATCGCACCTCTCCATAAGTTTACGACTTTTCCTCCCATTGAAGCGTGTTTTTTAAACCCTCTGGGCCCTGCCCTGATTTTTAACGCTTCTGTCCCTTACCTTGTGGGCTGTATTTGCGCTTGTAGATAATATATGCCGTGGCTCTGTCCCTGTTCTAAATGGGACAGTCAGGCAGGTATTTGGGAAATGCAGTATTCTTGTAACTGGTTTCTTGGAAGCTTCCTAAT